TCTTAAGTCGTTTTTGATAAAAAGGACAAATGAATAGTGAGTCCAATGTATTGGACAACTATTGATGTGCCGAACAAATGAAATATTTGACTCGTTTTTACGATTTACCCATTTTTAGCGTTTAAAAGATTACAAATGTGTCGCTTATTATTTACCCGAATATAAGCGACTCAATGCATAATTTAGTGTACAATTCAGTAAATGTAGTTTTATTTCACTTTATAAGACTTTGAATGCAAAACAAATGATCGAAATGTAGTTATAAATTGAAAGTATTGTTTATAATTGCGTTACGCTTTTACTATAGATATTACGGTTAGATTAAGTAAAGACTAATGTGATAAACAAAGTGAATGGCAGAGTATGTCCAATGCATTATCCATAGACGCCGTTCACATCGGGCTGGCGTTAGGGTTGCGACCCGTAGTCAGGCTCTCTCTCTCTCTCTCTCTCTCTCTCTCTCTCTCTCTCTGCCTTTTAAATGTTGTCCCATTAGGAGATGAGACGAGTGTTAAATTAATTCTCTGCTCTCGCATATAATACTAACATCTCATCGCATAATTATATTGTGCTCTGTTTGTACTGTTAGCGCATAATTGAATTAAGTTTCAAATAGACCCCAATTGTAATGTCCACAAGCGGTGGCATTAGTGAAGAGAGAGGGCCGGCGGACGTCATTCATCTTTATTAGCAGATCACAAATGCTATCAATGCTATCACTGCTCTCTTCTATCCATACAATGCCAGCAATCCGTGCCATCAGTGCAAGCGTTGCAATAAAAAGCCGCAGTCATAGCTCTCGGAGTGTAGATTCTGTGAGCTGTAAGGCATTCAATACTATTTCAATGAATATTATATTTGTTGCCAATTCAGTCAATACACTATTCATTCAAATATTTCCACTATTGTATTGTATTAAATGATTGTATTAAAGCTAACATAACGTTATAGTAAGTATTTTGTATTATTTTGTTTATTTCAAGTCATTTATATTACCGATTGCAGTGGAGTATCCCTTTTAGCACCAGTTGTATGGCAATCGAGTTAGTGATAGAAATAGTATAAGGGATGCCAACTAGTGATGCCTATAAGCAATGGTGCGGATGGTTTGGGAGCCGCCACTCGTAAGCTTTTATCCCGATTGGTTTGATTTTATGACTATCATATTTGATGCATGAGCTCCAGCTTCACAGCATACCAGTGCCAATAGTGCCAGAAAGCAAACAATCCAATCGACTTCCAGTTGACCGCTTCGCCCCAACTATACACTAACTATACACCAAATATAATAAATAGGATCCACATCTCTATCACTGTTATTATATTAATCTATGATATGCACAGCTATTGTGCACAACCATCGACTTCATGCCAATGTCATGACTGAAATTGTACTAAACATTGCATTTAATGGCAAACACTAAATAATATTAAATAAAAACAAGTCCCAATAGAAGACACTTTATTATTATTAGTTATATAACATCAGTCCTGTCTTCCCATTCGATCCCTAAAACAATTGACAGATTATTATTTATGAAATATTTTATGACATCCATTCAATTGATTTCATAGATATTATTACTCCAACTAATCTAAACTTTCCTAAATGTGTGATTTACGTGAAACATGTAACTAAAGTTTTCCTCAATTGTTATCAAACATTATATATTTCCAAACGTTTGACTTATTTCTTATTATATTTAATAATATAACTCTATATTATTGAATAGATATATTGAAGAATAATTAATTTAATGTCAAACATATATAACACTACAGAATATTTCACAATTCAATTATAAAATGTAATTTAATTTTCATACAAAGGAATGAATGGATTGATGTCAGGGAATAGAGTAACGATTGTATGGAAACTATTAAATGCAGTGATTTAATGTAAAATATCGATAAATTATATTATATATAGTGTTTTTCAACAATAAGATACATTATAAATAGATTTTACATTTAATATCACTCTTCATCTTAACAGTGATTGCAAATTATATTATAAATGATTGTTTGTTATTGAGTTTGAATTTATATATTTTTGATATTTTTTAGGAAAAATATTTTTTTATGTTGTGATCTCTGGAACCGATTCATTACAACAATAAACATCCGATTTTTGATTTGAGATGATTAGAGACGGCTGTCATTGCGAACCATTTCTGTGGCCTATCTTTCAATTGAATGGCTGTTTATTTGCCGGAATCTGTAAACATGTTTACGATGTATGCGATCAACGCTTTTCTCGTCTTCACTGCATTCATCACATGATTCTTGCATTCAATTGTGTTATAAAATCAATATTCATTAAATTTCAATTTTTAATATAATAAATACAAAGCAGTAAATGATTAATCCATTAGAAGAGGGGATCTAAGATTATTTAAACCTTTAATCTTTCATTACAATAGTGTATAATAAGTAATAATAGGGAAAAAGCAAAAACAAATTAAAACAAGATATTTTTGAGAGAGTAATTATTTAGTATTTTAGTTGTTATATAAGAGATTGTAAACGTTGTAATTATAGTAATGGAGCGCATCTTCATTGGATATTTCATGTCTTAATAAAAAATCTCAATTAACGACAATCTAATTGGCAATTAGTTGCCTATATTTAGTTCTGTCATTATGTGAATCATTTTTTTCTTCATTTTATAGCAAAACTATTATTGCAATGAAAAGCACTCATTGTATGGCAAGTTATAAGTCAGGCAATGAGTTTCCAATAGAGATGTTCTTCTTTAATAGTAAAGTGACTTTTATTGATCACTAATATTACAGTGTATTGAAAGTCACGAACACATCAGCGCTCTATTCGCTCGACAATAGCTTTATTTAATGAAAAAGTTTTTTTGATTAAAAGTCAGACATTCTTTGATTTTTTCTTTTTTATTGGTGTTCAGTGGAGAAGAAGTGACAAAATATGTGTGCAATGGAAGCGCTATTTGTAACTCTGAGAGAAAAATGTCAAACTCTGTGAAAACAGGTGTGCAATACAAGCGGTTGGCCGTGAATGCAATGCACCGACCATTGCATTGAGCGACCGGTGGGGACAATGACGAAGAGGTACCCGATTGGGAGTGTCCTTAGAGTTAGGCAGTAGTAGTGGTGGTGTTGTGCTCTGCGATCGCATTACAAACGCAGCCACAGTTGTAAAGCACAAGAATTTTCTCCCCGCTGTGAAGTGCCAACAGAGCCAACACTTGGCACACAACTCACAACTGCAGACTGCGTGGGGCCAACCCATCGCCAAACAGGCCTAACACAGCCCTAACGCAGCCCTCAACAGAACCTCGAATTCCTGGTTTTCAAGATGACAAACACCACTCACTCACCAATAGTTTATTATATTCAACACAAGACTCAATCTTATAATGTATCTCATATTCAAAACTACACTATAATTGCATTCAATGCCTGCCATTTCCAGTACCGCTGCTGTAGTGTCGGTGCGGGAGGATTGCCCATAGACTTGAAGTTCATATAACTTACTGTTTGCCACTAATGGTAATGTGGAGAAAAGGCATACATTTCACACATTTTTGACTTTTTAAGAGACAGTGATAGAGAGGGCCAAAGAGGACTACAAGAGAACACTGATTAATTACAGTCAAAGAGTGAAATGAAATGCCTTTAAACAGCCATTTGTTTGTCAATAAAAAAAACTTGAAGACTCGGCGAAGTGCTTGCGGTCGAGATTATTGTATTTATTGATAGATATATTATATTTAAAAGAGAAATTAAAAATGAATAAATAAAAGTATTAGAAGACCTAAACATTTATAACAAATATAATTTGATAAATATATTAAGAACTCTTGTATTTAATAATCTTGTATTTTAATGAATTGAAACATACGGTTAAAAGCGCTAAACTTGTAAGTAATATATGTCTTGAGGCAATTCAGGTGTGCTCTCTATTGATTGGCACAACCGCTCCGAACATACATTTGCTCACAATTATCACTAGTTTGTCGATGAAAATAAAGTTAACTCATAAAAAAGTCTGTATTTTGTGTATTTTGAATGTTTGAATCAGACATAAAAGGGTTTAACAATTTATTTTCTCTTTTTTGTTCTCTCTCTCTCTCTCTCTCTCTCTCTCTCTCTCTCTCTCTCTCTCNTCATTAAAATACAAGATTATTAAATACAAGAGTTCTTAATATATTTATCAAATTATATTTGTTATAAATGTTTAGGTCTTATAATACTTTTATTTATTCATTTTTAATTTCTCTCTCTCTCTCTCTCTCTCTCTCTCTCTCTCAAGAAATGTAAATTATTTACTCGAATAGAGATTTGGTTTCGAAATCATTTATTGATCGCAAAGAATAACATCAAAAACAAGTTATTCTATATTTACGACCGAATTATGTCTTAGTTTTGGTTAAATGAATAGATTTGCAAACTTTTCTTAAGAATTGTCGTATTTTTCAGCTCTTTTATTATCTTTGATTCAAATCGAGTCTAAGCTTGAAATTAAATAAAAGATTTATTGTTATAAACCATTTATAGGGCTTTTCGTAACAATTAATTTGAGTAAAACTTTTATAACCAATAATTTATACGTTTTATTGCTTTCAAAGGCGTGAATAAGAAAACACTTCTTTATTAATGAATCGATTGAATTATCAAATAGTAAAGTGTTTCACAAAAAACAACTAAATTTCAAATGGAAATTAAATTTTTTGCTTTCTGTCCGAAAAAAAACTCAATTCAAGTTTAACTCATAATTCATCCAAAATTTGGAAAAAATTTAATATAAAACCTCTTTCTCTCTCCAAAACGAGTGATGAATAATAACCAAAACATTTGGAGTCAAAAACATCCATACAATGACTTTTAAATAAATACTACAAACATATGAAAAATAAGAATATGTTTTAATTAAAAAACTTAATAAAATAGTTTTATTAAAAAACAGTTATAGTTATAATAAACAATAAACAAATTAATTATTTACGTTAAAAATGAAGTAATAAATAATCATAATTTTCTAACGACGGCTTCGAATAACTTTGTCTTATGTTTAATGGATTCGTTGAAAACCTTTTCGTATTCCGAGATTTGGCTCATAAGCACAACGTCTGGATTCTTAATACCGTCGCAAATATCTTTGAGGTCCTTCTCGAGGGCTGCCCTCAGGTTTGGTTTAGACATTTGATAACCGATTTCGTCGTAACCGTCCACTAAACCCACTCCCAGTCCTTCGGGTTTGAGTCTTCTGTCGGGCGTTTCGGTTATATAATGACGTTCTTTAATCTTCTCGATGTGTTCAGCGTGTGTGGCATCGGTTCCGATGCCGTGTTTCTCCATCAACGCTATCAACTGAGCCTCAGTTAGCAGTTCGGGTGCCGTCGTCTGGCCGTCGGTCATCATAATTGAATCCGGAATGAAGCGCTCGTTTTGATTGAATCGCGGGATCTCTTTGTCCGTCCATTTGTCGTAAATATAAATTTCCAAATAATTCTTCTCTTCGATTCGCAAACCACTCAAAGAGAAGAACTCTTCGTTAATGCATATATCGATTGTGGTCTCGTATCCGACGGCGTCTTTGTCCAGACTGGCCAAGAAGTGCCGCACAATTAGTTCGTATATGCGTTTGTCATCACCGGACAGGTTTGGGGCGTATTTAGTGGGATGAATGGGTGGATGTGCTTGGTCACTCTTCGTCCCGTTCCGTGGGTTCGGCCCATTGGTCAGCACTCTCTGCGCGAATTGTCCCCAAATAGGACTCGCGGTCTGTATTTGGCAATAGTTGGTTAAATTGAGTTCCGGAGCAAATTTGTTGGTTTCGGTTCGCGGATAACTAATGAAACCACTCGTGTAGAGCTTCTCCGCGATTCCCATCGCTTTCTTGGCGTTGATCTTCAATTTGGACGAAACGGACCGCTCGAAGGTTACCGTATCCATGGGTTGGGGCCGCCATTTGGAGCGCCGTCTGGTATTTATATGAGTGACCACTGCCTCCGGGCTGTCCATCACTTTAGTCATGACAGCCAAACAGCTTTGTTCGCAAAACACGCGAACTCTCTTCCAATTGAAGTTAGCGTTAATGCCGTCCTTCTTGTAGTGGACGTCAATCGACCAGAACTTCTGCGGAACGAAATTCTCCCGTTGTTTGAATCGGTCGACAACGAAGCCCAGCGTTGGGAACTGACACGAGCCGTAACTCACGATATTTTTATTGTCTTTCATCTGCGGCCGCATTTGTTGCAACTCCAGTGTCAGGAATCGCGTGAATGCGGCGCCCAATCGGAGGTCCAGCTTCTGGCGGACGTCCACCGCATCCGACACCTTCTTATTCGGCCGATTGAGTGCATTGAAGGCACGATTAATGGCCGGAACCGTGATCTCCGAGAAGTGCGCCCGAAATATGTCGAGCCGTGGGTTCGCCGCACGACAAACAGTGATCACTTCGAAGCCAATGTTCTCGCCTTCGCGGTCGCAATCGGTCCAAATGATGAGCACTTGACACCTCTTGGCCTCTCTCTCGAGCGTGGATTTGATTCGTTGATTGCTGTCATTACACGTCTGGACAATCGGCGCCTGAAAGAGGGACTTGGGTTCGCACGACCACCACTTCTTGTGATCGCTGGTGAAGTCATAGTTGAATAGATGTCCGCAAACGGAGGTCATAACCATACGACAGTCGCCGAGCGTCTGGTGGCGGACAGAGATCTCGTAGCACTTGTTGTAAGGACTCAGACCATTGCGGACGCGGACGGCGCCGGCGCCCAGAATGTTGGCCACATTCTTCGCCACGTCGTTCTTCTCGGCCACACTCAACACGTTTACCATCGATGACCGCTGGCTATCGGATCCGCTCTTCACATCACTACACAGACGCCGACAAAACGATATCTGTTTCAAACATTTGGTGATATTTTTGAGCAAATATTTCATAATATTTTGCAATCAATTAATAATAAACGCATTGTTTATATGCAATGAATGTCTGATTTATAACACAATTAAAACTAAACATTCATTCAATGAAAATGTATTTTCGGTTCAAAAAAGCGCTCAAAAGAGTCGCCTATTATTTTGTTTGTGAAGAGTAGAGGCGTTAACCGTCGGCTTAAACGCCTGTTTATAATGTAAACCCGGACTGCAATTAGTGATATTAAAAAAGGAGTTTATAAAAATAAATGCCTTGTCGGGAACATTCCCAGTGGGAATATTCCCGATAAATTCCCACTAAAATGAGGGAATTAATGCTCTTAACTAGATGGCAGCACCTCTTGAAAACGTTTTTAATGTTAGCCGTTGAAAAATGTAGGGAATTTATAGGGAGTCCATAGGGAGTCCATAATAAATTCCCAATAAACTCCAATAAACTCCGGGAATATTCCCATGATTCCGTTCCCACTCCATAAGTTTCTTATCCCTAACTGCAATGCAATCGTTTGATTCACGTAATCATTTTGGCCCACAATTTGTGCCATCATTTGTTCAATACGTGAATTCAATTCATTTCACGAATCAATTCCTATATTCATCTATAGTTTAATCACTGAATGAGTAATTTATTTGAATTAAATTGAGTTAAACACCGCATAAACGCTATATTAGCGGCTAAATAGCCGGCAACACCTCTACACACATCACATGCGAGTGTAATGCAAAATACCTCTTCTTATAGAGCGATGAAATGAATTAAAAGTAAGTTTGAAAACAATTAATTAATTAATTAAACAGTGGTTTGAGAGGTAAGGCGTGAAGGGATGGGTTGCGGGGATGGCGTGGATGTGATGGACGCCGATGTGTGCCTCACTCGTGAGGGGTAGGGGTGGAGAGGGTGTGGGTGTGAGTGAAGGGACACTCTCTAGGAGTGGACTGTGTTTGACAGTGAAATAGTGGTCTCAACCATAAGATGTATTCACTTTTGATAATAGCGTTGATTTCAATGCAATTGAAAATAAAAACATTGAATTGAATGGCAATAGAATTGAGTGATTATTGCTATTATATAACAGAGATTTGATTATTAAACACAAAATGCATTATATATTGAATTTGTTTTAATTGTTGACTCAATTAGTGGTTTCGCGAAATAAGTGGCCATCGCTTGCCATTGAGTCACACCATTAATAGCCGACCATTTGATTGCAATTTATATATTTATTTTCGTAATTAATTTAACGATTAATTAATAGTCAATAGAAAGAGAAGTGTTTGAGAGAAGAGTTTTTGACGAAACGATTGATCGCTTTCTCTCTCACATTGTGTTGTGTTTTGAACGCAAACAACAAAAACACAAACATTATTATGAAATTGACTGACATTTCATTGAAACGCCGTATTTATCGCTGAACTCATTGACCAAAAGGTAAATACAAAGCCATTCATTGATTTACACGTGTGTTTAGATTTGACGACCGGTTTGTTTTGGTTGTCAGATGACAGTCGTTATGAGCACCGGTAGTGGTGGCCAACAGAGCCAACCGCCGCCACAGTCACAGCAATCATCGCAATCACATCCCAATCAAAGCCATCCGCAGTCGGAGACCACACACACGACGGCGCCGACCATTGAGACCGACGGCGACCAGAGCTCCGCTCAGGCCTCCAATGCCTCCAACGCCTGTCCGCACGCGTCCTCCAAATTTACTGTCACTCAGATTGCGGCCAAAACGGGCCGAAAGGGCAGCAAAACGACGAAGACTTTGTCGGATAATAACCTCAACAGTGATAATAGTGAAGACGTTTCGCACATTTCGAGTACTAGTCATCACAAAAGCAATGAATCGCTCAATACATCGGTCGATATGATTGAGACGAACGCCGATTGCGACGATTTGGAGGTGAAAGAGGAGGAGTTGGGCGACAATGAAGAGCCGGACTTTCCTGTGGACGAACTGAACAAATTGGATGACATGATCAATAAGCCCCGTTGGGTCATACCTGTGCTCCCGAAGGGCGAACTCGAGGTCCTTCTGGACACCACTATTCGGTTGTGCAAACATGGATACGATGTCAGATCTGAGCCGTGCCAGAGGTTCATCCGCGAGGGGCTCACCATTTCGTTCACTAAAATACTGACCGATGAGGCCGTCAATGGATGGAAGTTTGATATTCACGTAAGACTTTCTATATTTAGCTTTAATTATCATTTGTTTACAAATGAGTCATAAAA